GAAATATATGTAATACGATGAAGCGATAGAGCGAGGCTTTAGCGGCGAGGGAGCGGAGCGACTAAACGGAGGTGGGTCTGGGAGGGGGTTCTGCAATTTTAGAACCACATTAGACGCATTTTCAGGCTCTACCTGAAGTAATATGACGTAAAATTGCTTTCTCCTACCCCTCCAAGAGTAGGGATCTTTTGTAATTTAAGAGCCACATTTGTCGCATTAATGTTTACCGGCACTTCCTTGGAAAAAAAGAGGCCTTTTGATTGGTTAGAAGTTAGATAAAAGTGATTTGTCACGTCGTGAGACGTTGTATATGCTTCGTTGTTGCACAATGCACAAAGACGGAGGTCCGGTGCTTCACCAGTAGTACTTGCATATTCTTTGGTCGAGTGTATAAACTGCGTTGTTATCAGGGGCGTCGCTAGACCTTTTTCAGTGGGGGGGGGGGGAGGATCAACGACAACATTAGTCACCAATTATCGACAACTATATTAATGCCAATGTGTTTACAAATTTAACCCTATAAACCCGGGGCCAGGATGTAAGTTATTTTTCAGTTTTCAGCTCTAACACTTCATTAAATTTTTAGAGAAAGAAGACGATCCATTGTACCGTTCTCAACTCTTAAATCTTGTTTTGCCCCTTTTGCGCGAAGCGCGGAAGCTTCGACATTTTATTCAATTGTTAGAGAAAGAAGACGATTCGTTGTATTGTGTCCTTGTCTGAATTCAGTTTTCCTCCTTCCGCACGAAGCGCGGAAGCTTTGACGTTTCATTTAATTATTACCCTAAATCCTTACTTGTCTGAAATCATTTTTGCCCATCCCACGCGTAGCGCGGAAGCTTTTACACGATCCGTTGTACCGTTCTTGTTTCGTCATAGCTTTGACAATTCATTAAATTATTAGAGAAAGAAGATGATCCGTTGTACCGTTTTTACTCTTAATCCTTGTCTAAATTCAGTTCCCCCCCCCCCCTCACGCGCGAAGCGCGGAAGCTTTGACGTTTCATTTAATCATTCGAGAAAGAATACGATTCGTTGTACCGTTCTCGACTCCTATTTCCTGTTTCGCCCCTCCCGCGCGAAGCGCAGAAGTAATGACGTTTCATTTAATTATTAGAGAAAGAAGCAATTCATTATACCGTTCTCGACTCTGAATGCTTGATTGAACTCAGGGATGGGGAGGGGGGGGGGGTTAGAACACATTTTTTCTCTTTTTTATTCTTCTTCGTCTTATTCTGCTCCTTCTTTTCCTTCTTCTCCTTTTTCTTCTTCTTCATCTCTTTTTAATTATGATACGCAACTTTATGGAAAAAATACACAATTCATAAAAAGTAAAATATTTGAATGTAAATCTCTGTTGCATCATATTAATATGAAATAGTTTATCATCCTAAATTAACGGTTATAATATACGTCGGACATTATACTTTAGCGAAAAGATATAAACATGATGAAATCAAAGTAAGTAAGAATCCAGAGCGGGTGGGGGGGGGGGGGGGGGGAGAGAGAAAAGGAGAGACAAAAATATCATAATAATATAAAAATAACACAAATATTGAGACCATCAAGTCCGTATAGATGTAAGTTGTTTCTTTTTCCTTAACAATCAAACTTAAAGGATGATGAATATCAGATAAATCTAAAAGTATTTTGGTCGAAGGGTTTCATAGGTCTGTCATTTAATTTAGAAACTGCTCAACTAGCATTCAAATTAATCGTCACTTGTCGAGGGGTCATTTTTATCATTCAAATTAACACCTGTCATTCGTATTCAAGTTAGGAATGTTAGGGGTTAGAAATGCAACACAGTTTACAGTTTAAAAAAAATACAATTAAATGCATGAATTGCCGTTAGGGTCTTTTCTGTTATTTCATTTTTTAATTTTGAGGACAATGCATATGATTGTAGTCAGACATTAGGCAAAGAAGGGGGAAATCAAGGAATATGGCATTTTAGCACGGACATGTTCATATACCCCGGAAAAGTTGGGATACAAACATACCTACCCCAGTCACAATATTGTACCCTTTCTCCAAAATGAAATTGTGATAAACTTATGATGAAACACAAGACAAACAACTTCCTTACATGAAAATTTACAAAAATATTGAGACCATCAAGTCCGTAGATGTAAATCGTTTTTTTCTCAACAATCAAACTTCAAGGATGATGCATATCAGATAAAATCTAAAAGTATATAAAGTGTATAAATGCAATAAAATAAAATATGATGAAATACACATGGAAAAAAACAATCTTGAAAGAAAAAGAATTAGCTATAAAAAGTGTGTAATAAACGAGAAATGTATATTGACCATCAAATTAAATTATACAGTGCGTCCCAGAAAAAAACGAAACCGAGAATTATCGATGTTTTATCATAACTTAATCAAATCTATAAGTAATAAATGACACATATTTGGAAAGCTTAGATCCTCCTCTTTCATTTGATGCAACTCATTGTGATGCATATTTCACGCATGAGTGATTAAAATCAATTTGAAGAGAGAAAACCGAAAAGTCGCTTGGCGGGCGGTATCTGAATTTCAAAGAGAAAATCACATTTCTAGAAAGTTGGGTTTCTGCCCTTTCATATGACACCTCAATCAGGAAAAATGAGCAAGGAATGACAAAGTTCTGTTTGTTTAAAGTAGCCCTTACATTTTCATAATTTTAGCAAACAAATTCGTTTTCACTGCCTGCCGTAGCAAAAAGCAGAATTGACAAAAGACTTAACTCCGTTTCGTTGACAATCAGCCATGCATGAAGTCTTTCTTCTTCGGCTGATTGTCAACGAAACGGAGTTAAGTCCTTTGTTATTTTCGTTTGTTGATACGGCAGGCAGCCAGTGAAAACGAATTCGTTTAATCAAATTATGGAAATGCAAGCACTACTTTAAACAAACAGAACTTTATACAGTAGGTTTGCGGGTGCACTTACGACACTTACAAGCAGCAAACAGAACTTTGTTATTCCTAGCTCATTTTTCCTGGTTGAGGTGTCATATGAAAGGGCAGAAACTCAACTTTTAGAAATGTGATTTTCTGTTAGAAATTCAGATATCGTCCGCCAAATGACTTTTTGTTTTCCTCTCTTCAAATTGATTTTAATCACTCATGCGTGAAATATGCATTATTATGAGTTGCATCAAATGAAGGAGGAGGATCTAAGCTTTCCAAATATGTGTCATTTATCAATTATAATTGTGATTAAGTTATGATAAAACATCGATAATTCTCGGTTTCGTTTTATCTTGGACGCACTGTTTATATATATATATATATATATATAAATATCATGTGTATATCAATGTGATATATTGTATTCCATTGAGTGACTGTATGGTGTTGCATTTCCAGGTTTACAATTGTGAAGATAAAGAAAATCTGTCCGAGTATGAAATTTTTTGTTTAAATTAAAAAAAAGGATAAAATTAGCTGATATATTTTATAAACGTAAACTTTGATGAATTGAAAAGGGGTAGAAAATTTCAATCTGATCTTTTTAAAAATGAAAATAACGCTTTAAAGACGTGAAATTTAATTTTTCACTTTTTTACTAAAAATTGAACAAGGATTTGTTCATTTTGAAAAGATATACTGGTTCAGCCGAGTGGAATTAACTGCTATACGAATTTATCATGAGTCACGAAATATTAATTTGGTGACTCAGCTGATGCGGACCAGAAACGTACAAAAGTGCGCCTGGACGGTTACGCATGAGTGATTTCGGAAAACAAAGAGTCAGAAAATTAGGATAGAGGAAGGAACCCATATAGATATGGTTCAAAAGCACATAACTAGACGTTGTGGCGTGCGCCTGTAATCCAGCTAACAATGGAACTGATTCAGCCGAGGACGCAGGTTCGAAACTGAGTCACGTCTTTCAGATGGTGACGTTTAAATGTCGGTCCCCAGACGTAATTTGAAACACTTCTGTAATACTATATACACACGCATACAGAGTGCAATCCATACTAATATAATCATGCAGGGTATACAATGGCGTCTATAATCCCCCTCACTTGAAAGATTTTCATAATTACACGAACTTTATGCGATATCATCTTCATTATGCAAATGAGGTTAAGTTTTATATCTGTAAATACAAATTCCACCCAGATGCATCAATTTTGTGTTCTTTTCTTATTCCATAATTTCTAATGACGGATCTTCTAAGCAAGGGCAAAACATGTGTTAAAGCTCAGAGGCCTTTTATCAATGAGCGATTTTCGACCGTACGTTAGATGCCGTCAGTCGATCGTTTATTCGTCATTCAGCTCACATCGATCTGCTGCAGATCACCTATTCGTCAGCAATGACGAAATCAAATCTTGTTGTTATTGTAAAAGTCTATTTTTTAATTTTTTATTGTCCTCCGACATCATGTTATAAAACATTGGCAGAATACATGTTAACTCAAAATGAAATCAGTGGCAGACGAAAAGAAAAGCAGCAATGGTCAAGGCTACGTGGATGTATGACATTAGTTTATAACTGCGTCATTTTTTCTAACAATACCCCGCCCCCCCCCCCCCCCCCCCGCGCATTTTATTATACCGAATAAAGAATGATTTGCACGGGCGATTGGCTAGTATTTTCATAGTACTACTTATTTGATCTACCCGGCGGCCCTCAGACCACAAATCAAACCGACGTGGCCTTTAGCCATGATATCGAGCGGCCCGTGGGGGGTATTCTCATCGAATTCAGAATGGTCAGTCTGCCCTCGCTTTCAACAGCATGAAATGGTGATGCCAGGAGGTTATCAACAAGCATGGTGGATAAATTACAGTATAAAGTAAATGATAGACAGCTGGTTCAAGGTGTCTCAGTTTAAAAATGAAGCAATTGCATTAATTTTCTAAATCGCAATACATAGGTATGTTTAATTTTCTCCGATTGAAAGTGTGAAGGTGTCCCCCAAAACACCCGTGTATCTTAAATATGTAAACCTTATTCTTGATTATTCTGATTTTTTTCTCTTCATTGATACATAGGTCCTTCCTCATTTACCACGAAACCGATATGTCCAGACTCTGATATACCAGAACTTGGTAAGTAAATACATCAGTTAACGAAGACCATACGGGATTACAGAGGGAATATGGAACAGTGTGATTACATAAAAATAACAGGACTACAGGAGGGGGAAGGAATTTCGGACAGAGAGAAATTTTCAATATAAAGGGAAAGCGTGACAAAGTAAGTTCGGGGAAGAGTGAACGCGAGACAGAGGGGAAATGGGATAGACGTGAAAGAGAGATTACGGAATAGGAGCAATACGAGGACAGGAGGGATGCCGAATATTAAGAGAGTATGGGACAGAGGGGATACAGAGACAGAAGGAATAAAGGGCCAGAGGGAATACAGGGCCAGGGGACTACAGGGACAGAGGAAATCCTGGGACAGAGGGATTACAGGGCCAAAGGGACTACAGGGACATAGGGAATACAGGAACAGAGGGAATACAGGGACAGAGGGAATTATACTATAAGAGCAAATTTGCATTGCGTGAAAATCATGTATTTTACTAATGAGATATTAACAGATATGTGTTGAGTTATTTGGAAATTTCACGCATTTTTTTTATGTCTTTTACAAAAAATTGCTAGATCAGCCGCTCATTTTTTTTTCTTCATAAAATGTATCTATTCCGACCTATACATAAAGACAAGACTATCGAAAATGGTAACTATGCTTATTACTGATTAACGCATTAAAAATATGAAACTAAATATTTCGATAAATTACTTTTTTATCAAATGAAATACTTTGTGAATAAATTGTTTTCCTAAAGGTTTTTGACATAATGATACCACCATATATTTCCTGTTATACAGTTGGACAGAGAAAACCAAATTTGAACGAAACAACAACAGCCCACGCAGAGGAACACATTTTCGGACCCTCTGCGGGAAAAGTTCGGACCGCTGTAAAACGAGCCAATGAGATTCTTCTTAAGAAACTCGTCGATCCCAAGACTGGAAACATTAATCACGTTGATTGGCTCTTCGATCAAGTCCTTGACCCGGAGGCAATGCATATAAGCAATTATTGGTATCTTCCGGGTGGACATTGGAAACCAATGAATTGTTTACCGAAATGGAAGGTAAATATGGTTCTGATTTCTTAAGTGAGTTGTGTCGTTAAATATAAACTGACGACAGAGATGTCGATTTAAAAACTTCACCCCTTCATTATAAAATTTTCTTTTATTAACATTTTCATTCCAGTTCTATGGCAGTTTATATCTCCTCCTCTTCTTACGCTTATCTCACATACTAAACTCTATTTCTAAGATAGAATAGAAAAATTGGGACCTACTGATATCTTATAGACGGAGAACTAATCGCTCGTTTACAAGAGCGAGAGAATTAACATTCACAATAGTTTATAGTCGTGAAATGGAGTGGAGTGGATATTTGGTGCAAACTGTGCGTTTAAGAATCCGATGGCCGGGATAACTGAATAATTATATGTAAAGCATTTAGAAAAGCTATAATCCCGATTTATGATCTTTTGGTATTATTAAGATAAAACGATGGAGTAGGTGTTTAGTGGGAAAAGGGGGGTCGACACCATTTGCTCAGAAATATTTAAGATGTTCGTTCTCCCCCACCCCCATTTTGAATACAAAAATTAAAAAACCGAGAGTGAAAAAGTGTCTAAATGATGTTTTAAAGCTGCTCATAACTACCTACTCTAATTATATATTAAGTTTCAGTCGTTAACAAATAAACCCATCGATCATTCTAGTTGCATTACACATTACCGAACTAAATTAGATCCTTGAAAAACGTTCGATCAAAAGTATTTGCCCTTTTCTCACTTGAATGTTATACATTCCTTTTTGTCCGTTTAGGTTGCTATTTTGATACCATTTCGAGATCGCTTCGTTCATCTTCCAATTTTTCTGCAAAACCTGATACCGATGCTTCAGAAGCAGCTACTCGAATTCAGCTTCTTTGTTGTTGAGCAGGTCTGTATAGTCGTCATCTTTTATTTCATTGTATGCTCTGGTTTTAAAAGCGATGTCGATCTTTGAAGGGGAGGGGGTGTGCATTTGCAATTACCGAGAAGGGATTTCGGAATTACATAGAATTAGAGGCACTATGGTTTGTTGATGAAGGCTCTTGACTCTTATACGAGAGGCCCTGGATTCGATCCTTGCTCGGTGCTTAGACCCTTGGGCAAGGTGTTTTACTCACGTTTGTCCTTCTTGATCCAGGTGTATCAAATGGCTAGCAATACTGGGGGTATTGATAATTGTAGGCATTCAGGAAGAACAGTATTTATGCTGATGATACTTTTCTAGGTAAATAATGTAATGATATTACATTAGTCTAAAGTTAATAGCGCCACCTTGTGATGATATATGTGACATGGACTACAACGATGTATGGATGCTACCGTGCGAGTCTCACGTACTGATAAGTATGTATCAAGTAATAAAGTTACATTCGAGCTTAACTAGATGTTAAGCATGATTATTACATGATGTCAAAAGTGAAAGTGACTGTTGATGGAATACCTGTGCCAGGCGCGTACGCAGGATTTTTTCAAGGGGGGGGGGGGGGGGGGGGGGGGGGGTCTGGAAATTTGAAAATTTGAAAAAAATTTCCGTTGGGGGGTGGGGGGATGAGGTCACCTTCTTTAGGTCAGCCATGGGAATATTTTTTTTTTAAAATTAAAACAAAAGAAAAGAAAAAAAAAAAGGGGGGGGGGTTAATAGGTTTTTTTAGGTGGGTTTACACACGAAAAAATACCAAAGGGGGGGGGGGGGTGAACCCCCTGCGTACGCGCCTGACCTGTGCTATCAAGTATGATCTTTAGCGAATTTCAGGAAGGGAAACTCCACGATTTTGGCGTGGCCGGATACAACATCCATAAAACGGTCTATTGAATAATGTACAGGTAGTGACCAGTTACTACAGGGAACTTTAATTCAGCAAGAGGTTTGAATAACCAGTGGAGTGGAGCATTTGAAGCCTCCATCACCCTTAGATTTGGAAGCTAGGAATCTTCCTCATGTATGGTAGCTATGGAGGGAAGAATTTGAGCTTTACACTGACCTGTCTGTCACAGCAGATGAAAAGAAAAAGGTAAAACTTTTTCAATACCTGGTAGGAGCAAAGGGTAGAGAGCTGTTCAAGACACTAAAGATAGAGTCAACCCCTAGTACTGAAGAGTCTCCAGAAGCACATGAAGTTACTTTAAAGGCGGTGTTAGATGCCTTTGAGAAACACTGCAATCCGCCCAAGAATGAAACTGTTGATCGATACAAATTTTCATGCGCCAGCAAGTTGGTGGTGAAACACTGGAGCAGTACGTGACAGAGTTGAAGTTGCTAGCAGCGAACTGTAATTTCAATGATCTCCGGGATTCTCTGATTCGTGACAGAATCATTTTTGGCATCCAGGATGGGCTGAGAACGAGATTACTGCGTGAGTCTGAATTAATGCTCGATAAATGTCTTCAAATTTGCAGAGCAGAAGTATTGTCGAAGGAGTGGATGACAGCGTTCGACAAAGGTCAGTCCCAGGATGTACACGCAGTTCAGAAGTTGAAGCCAAACATGAGTGGTAAGACTGTCCAGCAGTGCAAGTACAGAGGTAAATCTCAAGTTGCTGACAAGAATAAGTGTCCAGCATATGGCAGAACATGCAACAAATGCCAGAAGGAGAATCACTTTGCAAATGTTTGCAAAACATCACTATCCAAACCAGAACAGTAGGGCAGAAATGGTAACAAGTCAGTTCATGCTGTTGATGCTGAAGAAGAAATGCAGGACTTCTTCGTTGACGTCATTCAGTCATCAAAGAGCTCAGATGACTGGTTAATTGATTTGAAATTTGGCTCCGTGAAAGTGCGATTCAAAGTGGACACAGGTGCCCAGTGTAACGCCATACCAGCGATGGTACAACAACAGTTGAAATCGCCTATGCGGAGTTCATTTTCAAGGCTGGTGGTGTACTCGGAGCATATAATACATCCAGTAGGCAAGACAACGCTCCTCTGTGAACATAAGAACAGGTTTTATAACTTAGAGTGTCAGGTTGTTGATAAGCAAACGCTACCGATATTGGGACTTAAATCCAGCGAAGAACTTGGTTTGATCAAGAGGGTCGATAGAGTCGATGCAGCACAGGATACTGATAGTATCAAAGAGAGATATGCGGATCTATTTCATGGGTTAGGTTGCATGCCAGGTATACATAAGATCAAGGTCAGAGATGATGCTGTCCCCATGATCCATGCTCCTCGACGGCTACCTGTTGCGCTCCGAGAGAAGGTCAAAGATGAGCTGAAGAGAATGGAAAATCTGAAAGTCATTGAGAAGGTGACAAAACCAACTGCTTGGGTTAGCAGCATGGTCACAGTCGCCAAGAAGAACAGCGACAAAGTGAGAATTTGCCTTGACCCGAAAGAACTGAACCAAGCCATAGAGAGGGAGCACTTTCCCATGAAGACTATCGAGGAGGTAGTATCGAGTATCTCCGATGTCAGAGTATTCAGTACACTCGATGCCAATTGTGGATACAGGCAGGTGAGGCTGGATAATCTGTGTACCTTTAATACGCCATTTGGAAGGTATAAGTATACCAGAATGTCCTTTGGTATCAACTCCGCTCCTGAAATATTCCAAAGAACAATGACACAGATGTTGGAAGACATGGAAGGTGTAGATGTTGTGATGGATGACATCCTGATATGGGGCAAAACAAGGAAAGAATATGATCAACACCTAGAAGTTGTGTTCAAGAGGCTGCAAGAGAACAATGTAAGACTAAATGAAAGCAAATGCAAAATCGCAGTAGATGAGGTAAAGTACATTGGTCACTTGCTGACTGCTGATGGCCTGAAACCTGACATGATGAAAGTAGAAGCAGTCAAAAACATGAAGCAGCCTACAAACAAGAAAGAAATGCAGAGGTATCTTGGAATGATAAATTATCTTGGCAAGGTTATTTCTAACTTGTCAGAGGTGACTGCACCTCTGATGAAGCTCTTGGTGAAAGAGAATGACTGGCAGTGGCAGCAAGAGTAGACTGGATCTTTCGAGAATTTGCAGAAACTGGTAACAAAAGCTCCCATACTGCAATACTATGACCTACAAGTGCCAGTTGTAGTAAATGTAGATGCATCGCAGAACGGCGTAGGAGCAGTACTCCTTCAGAATGAGAAACCTGTCGCCTATGCATCCAATGCCTTCACTGAATGTGAGACACGATATGCCCAAATAGAAAAAGAACTGGCAGCTGTGGTGTATGGAGTTGAGAAATTTCACTAGTAGTTTGTGGTAGAGTCAGACCACAAACCACTGGAGTCGATCATGAAAAAGCCTCTTGCGGATATTCCACCACGTCTACAGAGAATGCTGCTGAAACTCCAGAAGTATGATTGTACTTTGCAGTACAAGAAAGGCACTGAGATGTACGTTGCTGATGCTCTGAGCAGAGACTTCATCCCAGAGAGTGAAGACGACGAGGAGAGCCAAGACATACCAGTATGCATGGTAGACTATCTTCCAATGTCTCCAGCTAGACTAGATGAGCTGCAGAAAGAAACTCTAGCAGACCCTGTGTTATGTAAGCTGATGGAAAGAGTCAAAGAAGGCTGGCCAGAGAGACGTCAAGATGTAGAAGCAGAAATAAGGCAATACTGGCAGTTCAAGGATGAGATCACTACTGAGTGTGACATGATCTTCAAAATGCAGAAAGTAATCATACCATGATGAGGAAGCTGATGCTAGAAAAAACTCCATCAGAGTCACCAAGGAGTAGAAAAGACCAAGAGACTGGCAAGAGATGTGCTATACTGGCCAGGGATGAATGCTGAAATAGCAGAGACAGTTAAAAGAGGTGAGATTTGCAGCACACATAGAGCCAGTAACCAGAAAGAACCTATGCTTGGTCATGACATACCTGAGAGACCATGGCAAAAAGTTGGAAGTGATCTGTTTGAGTTTGCCGGGTCTACTTATCTCATCCTGGTAGACTTTTATTCCAACTACTTTGAAATCAACAAGCTGACAAGTACAACAAGTACAGCCGTGATAATAGTATTCAAGCAGCAGTTTGCACGACATGGCATACCTGAAGAGATAATATCAGATAATGGACCACAATATGCCAGTGCAGAATTCCAGCAGTTTTGTGTCAAGTATGGATTGAGACACACAACATCTTCTCTAACATACCCACAGTCAAATGGGAAAGCTGAAAAAGCTGTGCAGATAGCTAAAAGTCTCTTGAAGAAGTCGGCAAAACAAGGTGAAGATGTACATCTAGCTCTTTTGGCCTATAGAAACATGCCAGGAGACGGGCTGCCATCGCCTGTACAGATGCTGATGGGCAGAAGGACCAACACCATGCTACCCACTTCGAGTAGACTACTTGGACCACAACCTGTGCATCAAGAGCTCCTGCTGGAAAGGAAGAAGGAACTGCAAGAACGTCAAAAGCAGTTCTATGACAGGGGATCCAAAGATCTGACATCTTTACAACCTGGTGAGCGAGTCTTCTACCAAAATGGTAAGGTGTGGAAACCAGCCGTCGTCATCGAGAAATACAAATCACCTCGCTCTTACATCGTCGAAAGTGAAGGAGGGAGTCGCTATCGTCGAAATAGACGTCATTTTATAAAGTGGAGTCACTTTTGCAATTTTCATATCCTCTGGAAAAGTACTCGTCAAGATAGATAGGTTCATTAAGTAACTTAAAGGCTTAAATAAAAACCTTCGCACCATCTTTTCGAAATTTAGCTAGAATCATGTCTTACCCAGTACTTTTTATTACATTCAACTTACGTAACTCTTTTGAAAACAAATTGTTCACTGATTGGTAATAACTCGAAGCTGTTTTCACGTACACCTTTTATTTCGTTAAACTCACAAATACAAAATTGTCTACGCTGAAAAGGGTCTTTGGAAGGGGTGTTTTTCTACTAATTTGGCAGCCACATTTGTGAAATGATAATTGAATTTATTAGCGATGGCCATCTTATCATGACATAATTCCCTATCAATTGTAATGACAGATTCTTGTTCTTTTCGCTTCTTATTTTTAATCCTAAGCTCTTTAGATGCTGCCAAACCCTTTTCGAATCTTGTTTATTTTCTTCTATCTTGTTTTGTAAGTAATCGAGTTTAGCCCTTTTCACCTTTCTTTGGACCATATTTCTTAATACTCTGTATCTTTTATAGAGTGTTTCCTCTTTTACTCTTTTCCTCATTTTTTGTATACTATATTTTTCTCTTAAATTAGAGAAAGAATATCTTTAGTCACCCAAGTTTCTGATCTTTGTTTTATTCTAATCCGTTTCCGTTTTAGTGGCGCTAATCTAAATAAAATCTTATCTTATCTCATCGTATCTATCATATTCAAATTTGAGATAAAAACATGTTGAAATATTGACCATGCCTCATTTACATTTGTACAGTCAGTTATTCGTGACCAATCAACAACAGATAGTTGAAGATTAAAAGTCTCTTCTGTATATTTTTTCATGGGTCTGATATCATTAGTCCTGTGATGACCTATAGGCAGTCTAATATTTTTTCCGTGTACAGAAAGTATAAAGAATGGTCGCTAATACCTAGATCAATAACACCACTTTGACTTATTTTGTTTTCTTTGCTACAACCAACATGATCCAATAGAGAAGAACCTGTAGGTGTAACGCGTGTTGCCTCTTTAATAAGTTGACTGAACCTGTGAAGACTCAACAAGTCAATATATTTTTTAGCCAGTGGCGATTTGTGTAGAAGACAAATATTCATGTCTCCTAAAAAAAAGCCATCGTTGTTTAAAGTATTATAACTAAGAGTATTGGACAATTTCTCGATAATAATAACAGAACGCCATAAACAATTGATTTTAATCTTGGTATAAGCAAATTTATCCACATGGATTCCTTATCTCCAGTACTTATAGCATCCATAATATTAAATGCAATATCATTTCTGATATAGAAACATACACCACCTCCAGAGCTAGAGGATCGATCATGGCGTATGATTTTATATCCGTTTATTTCAATTTCTTCATCGTTTATGGAGTTAACCATGTTTCAGTGAAAGCAATAATAGACGGCCTTTTTCTTTAATTTTTTTTTTAAAGTTCCGATACGTTGTTTAGGTGTAAAAAATGAAGACCTTTAACATTAAACTTGTCTTCAAATTCTTGATAAAGAGAAGTGTTTTCATCTCTGAGGTTTGGCTGAATTATTTTTGCTATCGAAAACATGCATTTGTCATACTTCATCTATGTACGTCTCTCTTTAATACGACTATGCGGTGTCGTGAAAAGACAAATTAATTTTAAACAACATGCTGTACAGACAACTAGAAAATTGTGTTTAAAAATGAATGGTTCATTGTATAACACAATTATCTCTTTGCTAGAGAAAAAATAGGTTTTCTTTCCACTATTGTGATAAAACTTGATTTTTATTCTCTCTCTCTCTCTATCTCTCTCTCTCTATTTTGTCCAGGCTAATCAGGAACTCTTCAACCGCGCGATGCTCATGAACGTCGGGTTCCTCGAATCACTTAACTTTACCGACTACGATTGCTTCATCATCCATGACGTCGACCATGTACCCATCGATGACCATAATTATTACGGCTGTTCCAGAATGCCCAGACATTTCATTTCCGGGGATGATTACCGGAATTACAAGTAAAGAAATGTTACACTTCGGTGAATAAATTTTAAAGTGGGCCAGCGGTCAGCTCTTTCAGTCTTTAAATAAACTGACAATAATAATCGAATCGCATTTAAAAAAAATGAATCTAACATTATTTGGCGACACTTGCTCCGAGTTTACTTTCGTCATTTAGAGTCAGAGTTATAGGTTGCAGTGGCGGATCCAGGGGGGGGCCGAAACGGCCGCGGCCCCCCCTATTGGGGGCGCAAAAAAAAGGAAGAAAAGAAGGAAAAAAAAGGAGAAGAGGAGAAGAAAAAAGGAGAAGAGAAAAGAAAGGAGAAGGGAAAAGAAAAAGGAAGAGAAGAGAAAAGAGAAAAGAAAAGATAAAGAAGAAAGCCCAACTCCCCCCTCCCCCTCCCTCCCACTCCGGGGTCGGAGGGACCGAATTTGTGTTCCAAAATTTCCGATAAAGAGTTACTTTTCACGCAACAAAGTCCTGCCCGTAATACACAAAAATCCGGCCCGTACTGACTTACACCGGAGGTAGAGGGGTGCTTTCAAACAGAGGGAACATACATGTGCTACCCTATAGTAAGTGGGTGGGGGGGGGGGATTCGGTGAGAAAGGGGGAAAGACAAGGAAATGGCGCTAAGTGACAGTAACGACGAATAAGGGAGAACTGTAATCGGGAGATTTGGGGTCATTCCAGAAGGTTTGGCAAACGTTATTGAATAGAGGGGGCCGGGCCGGCCGCATAAAATCTCGAGCCGCGGATTCAAAGTTAAACGTAAAAAACAGCCCTCTGCGCTACAAAGGTCATCACTCTTTAGTGAGAAATTTGAAAAGGGCACAATATTTTGGATGTCTTTTAAATAGAAGCTATATACTCAACAGTCAAATTTTAAATTAACGGTTGGGCCGCTTCATTACTCTTATTTTGCCCTTGATTTGAATTCAGCTCATACCAACTCGCTCGTGTTTGTATTTGAACTCATGTTGGTAGTAATCATGGACAGGGGCGGCAGTCCTGGGCCCGATAGGGAGACACGTCCCCAGGAAATTTAGAAATATAGCTTGAAAGAAATATAGCGGAATTTTCTAGAATGCATAATTTCAACATTGCAAAATCTTGCTTGGTTGCTACGCCCCGGCCCTCGCCCGATAACACAAAACTATGATATGACGCTCCCGGCCGTGATTTATCCATGGTTAGTGCAATAGATCTTTTCTCCCTTTCATTTCTACTAACCTAATTGTGTGCTATCACAATCATGATTGTTTCATTTCCCCTTTAAATCAGGCGCGTAGCCAGGGGCGGTAGGGACAGGAAGAGGATGCATAGGACGAAAAAGGAGCAGACAAAGAAAAAAAAAAATTCTGACAAGTCGAGTACGGTACAACGAATCGTCTTCTTTCTCTAATAATTATATGTAATGTCAAAGCTTCCGCGCTTCGCTCGGGAGGGGGGGCAACTGAAATCAGACAAGGAATGGTAAAACGAATCGTCTTCTTTGTCTAATAATTTAATGAAACGTCAGAAGTTTACGCGCTACGCGCGGGCGGGGAAAAAATGAATCCAGCCAAGGATTTAGAGTCGAGAATGGAACAACGATTAGTCTTCTTCCTCTAATAATGTAATGAACCGTCAAAGCTTACGCGCTACGCGCGGAGGGGGGAACTGAATTCAGACAAGGATTAAGAGTCGAGAATGGTACAAAGAATCGTCTCCTTTCCCCTTATAATTTAATGAAACGACAAAGCTTCCGCGCTTCGCGCGGGAGGGGGGGGGGGGGGCGGAACTCAATTCAGACAAGGATTAAGAGTTACGAATCGTCTTCTTTCTCTAATAATTTAATGAAACGTCAAAGCTTCCGCACTTCGCGCGGGAGGGGGGGGGCACTCAATTCAGACAAGGATAAAGAGTCGAGGACGGTACAAAGAATCGTCTTCTTTCTCTAATAATTTAATGAAACGTCAAAGCTTCCGCGCTTCGCGCGGGAGGGGGAAAACTGAATTCAAACAAGAATTAAGAGACGAGAATGGTACAACGAATCATCTTTCTCTAATAATTTCATTAAACTATGAAAGGCCAAAGTTTCCTTGCTTCGCGCGGGAGGCGGGGGGGGGGGGCTGAATTCAGTCAAGTAATAAGAGTCGAGAATGGTACAACAAATCTTCTTCTTTCTCTAATAATTAATGAAACGTCAAAGCTTCCGCGCTTCGCGCGGGAGGGGGAAAACTGAATTCAAACAAGAATTAAGAGACGAGAATGGTACAACGATTCGTCTTCTTCCTCTAATAATTTAATAAACCGTCAAAGCTTACGCGCTACGCGCGGGCGGGGGAAAACTGAATTGAGACAAGGATAAAGAGTCGAGGACGGTACAAAGAATCGTCTCCTTTCCCTTATAATTTAATGAAACGCCAAAGCTTCCGCGCTTCGCGCGGGAGGGGGGGGGGGGGGAACTTAGTTCAGAGAAGGATTAAGGGTCGAAAATGGAACAACGAATCATCGTTCTCAAATAATTTCATTAAACTATGAAAAGCCTAAGTTTCCGTGCTTCGCGCGGGAGGCGGGGGGGGGGGGCTGAATTCAGTCAAGTAATAAGAGTCGAGAATGGTACAACAAATCTTCTTTTTTCTCTAATAATTAATGAAAGCTAGGCCAAAGCTTTGAAAAGCCAAAGCTTCCGCGCTTCGCGCGGGCGGGAGGAAACTGAATTCAGACAAGGATTAAGAGTGGAGAATGGTACAACAAATCGTCTCCCTTCTCTAGTAACAATTAATGAAGGGTCAAAGCTTCCGCGCTTCGCGCGTAATGGAGGGGGGGGGGACAGCGAGCTGTCCGAATATGAGTTTTGATATCTTTTTTCGTTTATTTTGGTGATAAATAACACTTTCACAAATTATTGTTGCTCGCTCGCTTCGCTCACTATTTCGAATTGTGAAACCAGAAAATTACTTTCCGGGCAAGAGGCTATAGCCCCCCCCCCCCCCCGATGAAAATGTCAAAAATTCTACCGGTATCGTGCTTCTAATATGACCTTGTCAGTATTGGTATGTTGAGTTGAAAAAATGGTCTGCGCAATTTTCAAATTTCCGGCCCCCCCTATTGGAAAATCCTGGATCCGCGCCTGGGTTGTGATCGGGTTTAGACTTTAGAGGTTCGGTTTAGGGTTGAGCATATAATGTATTGGGTCCTGTGTTGAAGTTTGGAATTCGATAAGAGTTAGATATTGATCTTGGCGCAATCACCACCAGATCATGTGTTGTACTCCTTTCAAAAAGTGACGATTCCAAAGTGTACAAAATATCATGGACCCTCACAAACACGCAGTCCCTCCATATTGTCCATAATAGTCCTGGAAACTATCTTTGTAAGCGTTATTTTAACATTTGTAAGTTTTTTTTGTATAATCGTTAAAGCGTGAGTGTTTTACTGCATTTCCTATTATCTAAACCTATTGCGTTAACCTTTTTAAAAACAATTTCTGAATATGCTGTATAATCGCTTCGAGAATTTCGTAGATTTGCCATGTCACTGCATGCGTTATTACCTGCGTCAACCGAGCCATTGAAAACAATTGGTCTATATACGCCAGTGTTACTATTGATTTTGCAGTCTTTTATTTTCACTCACGCAGGCCCCCATCAAGCAAATGACGCCACGTGCGCAACGGGTATAATACATCGCTATTCTAATTATGTTCTAGATTACCGTATGCTGATTCCTTTGGAGGCGTCACTGGTTTTACTAAAGCTAACATCCGAAGCATCAACGGCTTTCCTAACGTTTACTGGGGGTGGGGTTGTGAGGATGATGAAATATTGCTAAGGGTCAAGGACGCTCGCCTCAAAATCACCCGCGATAAAGGACCAATCGGGTATTATAACGTCATTATGCATCATCACGAAGGCGCACCAAAGGGAAAGGACAGGTAGGCATTGTATTTGCTTTGGACGCAATCTGATTATGAATATTTCTTTATAGGCCTACTCAAACTTTCCATGCCTGCTTCTTGGAGGAATGACTCAAATACCCCCCTCCCTACTATAAACAGTTAGATATTAAATATTTTTAACCCTATAATTGCACAATAGATTACCCGAGTTTTTTTTTTTTTAATATTAAAAAAAACTTGCCTAAAGGTGGTCGGACACATATTATTACCAAAGTGTTTTGCATTTTCTCGACAGTTTACATACAGTCAAAAACCATACATGAATAATTATTTTATTAATTTTTGTAATATTACCCTCTTATACTTTTTAAGTGCCCCCTGGTCTAGCGTATATATGACGTATTTTATATATTTTGGCATTATAACCCGGGACATAACACATGCATTCTAGTGTATACTATAGATGCCGACATAGTTGACTATTGAATGGGATCATGGTAACCACTTTCCGGGGGTCTTAGATTTTAAGTGTGTTGTACCTGATGTCAAGCACTACGGAATTGCAATGCAAAGCTGCAATGAAATCATACCCGGTAATCAATGTTTTTGTTCTTTCCTCTGATTCTTCCTTCAGGAGAGCTCTTTTGGGCACATTCAAACGTCGAATCGGAATGGATGGATTGTCGAACATCGTTTATCCGACCCCCGTGTACGACCTCCATACTCTCTACACCAACGTCAGCGTCGACATCAAGAAGATCAAACCACATTATTGAATTGAATTGAATTGAATTGAACTTTATTTCATTCATCATAAAAACATCATAACAAACATATAAAATACAAAACATAGCGTACATATTAAAGAGAAACATTTACAATACAAATACAACAACAAAAATATATATGAATATGGAGACAGCTAGAAAAGCCAAAGGCTTTATTGGTCCTGCCACCAATCCGATTACCGACAAAATTAAGTGTCCAATATTTACAAATTCAACCCTATAAACCCGGGGACGAAGGCTAAATTATTTTTCCTATGGACTATCTATAGTACTTGCCTATGCGCAAAATGGTCAATTTCCTCGACGACATAAATATACGAATTATTTCTTCAATTTAGTCAGCATCATAGCTCTATGTATTAATGCAGGCGCGGAGCTAGGATCTTATTTTAGGGAGGGCGGTAGTGAGCAAGAGAATCACTTAAAAGCGCGCTCATTAGGGGGGTGTGGGTGATGGGCCTCCCGCGCAAAGCGCGGAAGCTTAGACGTTTCCTTAAATTATTAGGAAAAGAAGACGATTAATGTACCGTTTTCGACTGTTAATCCTTGACTGTATGAAGTTCACCCCCTCCCGCGCAAAGCGCGAAAGCTAAGATGTTTCATTAAATTATTATTAAATAAAGACGATTTGCTGTACCGTTCTCGACTGTTTATCCATATCAGAATTCAGTCCCCCCCCCTTCCCGCGCAAAGCGCGGAAGCTTTGACGTTTCATTAAATTATGAGAAAAAGCAGACGATTCGGTGTACTGTTCTCGACTCTTAATCCTTGTCTGAATTCATTTTTTCTTCTCCCGCGCGAAGCGTGGAAGCTTTGACGTTTTATTAAATTATGAGAAAAATCAGACGATTCGGTGTACTGTTCTCGACTCTCATTCCTTATCTGAATGTAGCTTCCCCTTCCCGCGCAAAGCGCGGAAGTTTTGACGTTTCATTAAATTATTAGAGAGGGAAGACGATTCGTCGTACCGTTTTCGACTCTTAATAAGCCCTATTCATCTGAATTCAGTTTCCCCCTCTCGCGCGAAAGCTTCGACGTTTCCTCATATTATTAGATAAAGAACACGATTCGTTGTACCGTTTTCGACTCTAAATAAGCCCTATTAATTTTGTCTGAATTCAGTTTTCCCGTCTCGCGCGAAGCGCGGAAGCTTTGACGTTTCCTTAAATAAGTAGAAAAAGAAGACGATTCGTTGTACCGTTCTCGACTCGTCTAAATGAAGTTTTCCCCTTCCGCGCGAGGGGCGGAATTTTTGGCGTTTCATCACAATATAGAGAAAGAACACGATTCGTTGTACCGTTTCCGACTGTAAATAAGCCCTATTAATTTTGTCTGAATTCAGTTTCCCTCTCTCGCGCGAAGCGCGTAAGCTTTGACGTTCCCTCAAATTATTAGAGAAAGAACACGATTCGTTGTACCGTTTTCGACTCTAAATAAGTCCTATAAATTTTGTCTGAATTCAGTTCCCCCTCTCGCGCGAAGCGCGGAAACTTTGACATTTCCTTTAATTATTAGAGAAGGAAGACGATTCGTTGTATCGTTCTCAACTCGTCTAAATGAAGTTTCCCTTTCCGCGGGAAGCGCGGAATTTTTGGCGTTTCATCACAATATAAAGAAAGGAAGACGATTCGTCGTACCGTTGTTGACTCTTAAACCTTGTTTGGATTTAGTTTCCCCGAAAATTTTCCTTGCCACATTGCCCCGAAAAATGTTGTTATTTTGGTCCGTGGTGTCAGAACAAGTATCACGCGCCCCCACGTGCATTATGACCGCGAATCCTTCATGATTTAGCCGATTTGGGAACTCATTATTAAGTGTATTTACTAAAGTGTTTAAATTAACAGACGCTGTTAATGTCATCAGCAAATAGCACAATGATGATAAAGGTGTTGTATTGGTTAAATCATTAGTATATAATAGGAAAACCAAAGGGCCTAGTATTGACCCTTGTGGAACTCCATATTTGCTAGGCAGGAAATTTAAAACATCATTTTACACTACATACTGCTTTCTGTTAGATAAATAGCTCTCAAACCATGCCAGTGCAACTCCACGAATTCCATAACACTGAAGTTTTTTGAGTAAAATTTGGTGGTCAAGGGTATCAAAGGCTTTTGATAAGTCCATAAATACTCCTATTATATGTTATTTATTGGCCATAGCATTCGTTATTTTATCATATTTTTGTACTAAAGCTTGGTCGGTTGCATGTCCTTTTCTTAAACCATATTTCCTCGTGGACGAGTGGATATTTCACCGGACTGTGGATCACAAGGTCCGCGGTTCAAGTCCCACCTGCACTAATGTCCTTTGGCAAGACATTGATTTACATTGGCCACTCTCCACCCAGGTGTAATATGGGTACCCGGTAGCGCATATTTTTTTACACAACTGTTTAGCCATTTTCGCGAAAAAATTCCAAGAAGTGCTCTGGTGAAAGAGTCTAGGTTGTCAGCGCACGCACCTACACCCAGGGAAGGGAAGATGATAGAAAGGGGAAAACAAGGATAGTGGAGAGGATATGGAGAAGGAAAAACAAAGAAATACATAAGGAAAGAGAAGAGGATAAGTCAAAGGAAGAACATAAACATACATAATTGAAGAGCTAAGAGGATCAGATATAGACTAAGGAAAGGGGAAATAGATAAAGAAGGAGAAATAAGGGAATGTATCAGATTAAAACAAAGAAATAGATGACGAAGGAGAAAAGGATAGATTGAAGGAGAAACAAAGAAATATCTAAAACAAAAGAGAAGAGGTTAGAATAAAGGACAACAAAATAAATACATGAGGAAAGAGAATGGGGGATAGTTGAAGGAAAAACAAAAAAATTAACGAAGGAGAAAAAGGATAGATTGAAGAGAAAAAAGAAATACATGACAAAAGTGAAGAGGATAGAGTGAAGGAGAACACAGAAATACATAATGAAAGAGAAGAGAGGATAGATTTAACCCGAAACAAATAACGAGTATACACATGTACAGCTCCAGCAATCCAACAAAACTGCTAAGGGTAATGCTAGACTCCGTCTCTAGTCGTTTGCACTGTATATTTGACTGAAATGGCTAAACAGTTGTGTAAAAAAAATATGCGCTACCCGGTAGGATGCGAAAGCTAATGTGCTTAGATTAGCAAGTGTGCGCTTGTAAAAATGACGCCTGGCTGGAATGCTCCCCAGGGAGTGGAGAATGTGCATCCATTGTCTGCGGGTAAGCCTGAATCCTATTACCGAGGTAATATTATGATTGCAGGGCCCTCAGGGAGAACAGTATAAATACTGATGAGGCTACCCTGGGTAAACAAGACATATTATTATTATTACTATTATTATTATTATTATTATTATTATTATTTAGATTTAGGAATTGAAAAGTATATACAAATTTATAGAGCCTATTGTAAATATTCTTTTCTAGGATTTTCGATATGCTGGGAAAAATAGAAATAGGCCTGTAATTACTTATTTCGTGAGGATTTTTCTTCTTCTTCAAACAGGATTTACCTTAGCAATTTTTAAGGAACCGGGCCTTTTTCGGTATTGATTTATAGATTAGAAATGTGAGTTATAGAAAAAGCGATAAAGTGTATAATGTATTTAGGATGGAAAGCACTTTTTATATCGTTAATTTTAGTTATTATCGTATATTTACTTAATTTTAGATCTTTTGTTATTTCGGTTATTTCATTAGGATTAGTGTGATTAAAAAACAGTGATAAATTTGAAGGTTCAGGAAGAAATGTAGTAATATTTTCGTTCGGTGTATTAAAGGTACTATGTCCCATTTGCAGGCCAAAAGAAAGTTAAATTCCAACTGCATTTGAAAGATAATACTAATTTAGAACTTCCCTAAAAAAGGTGGGGCTTGAAAATGTCTTCAAGTGGGAAAATAACGACTATTAGTTGAGAAATCGACTTTAGGGCTATAGAGCCCAAAAGTAATAGTCTTGATTTTCAGACAATTGTACCAAATGGCCATACGTTTTATGCTGAGCAAAGATTCAATCAGTTTAATCTTGGCCATCACAAGAAGTGGGTTATTGATGCAGACAAATGCCCCATCTACCCTTTACAACTCTTTCCATGTATGTTATTACCAAAGAAGAAAAAAGCCAGTCACTCAATAGTGTCTGACAGTGAAGTCTAGCGAGTAAACGGGTTTCCTTGCATAATTTGAATATGAAGACACTGCTAACGTTTAAATTTCACAGATAGGACATACATGACATATTCATAATTCCTGCAAAGTTCTACAGAATTTGAGGTTGGCTGCAAAAGGGACATAATACCTTTAAGTTTATTTACTAAATTAGGTCCTATATTTACAAAATAGGAATTAAAGGTATCGGATATAGGCTTAAGTGTTTATAACTGTATCATCTATTGTAAAATGTTCATTGGGAAATTCTTTTGTTTTATTTCCAATCAAATCATTTATTATCTTCCAGGTAGATTTTGTATTTGATTTCACTCTATTAAGTTTGTCGAAAAAGTATATTTTACGAGAATTTAGAATGATGTTAGTTAATTTATTTAGGTATGTTTTATATCTGTCTTTTTTGTGAACAGTAGAGTTCGTTAGATAAGCCTCGTACAATTTATTCCTTGTAGAATTGCTTTTGTTATCCATGGTATTTTTATCGCTTATTTCTCTTGTTAGCTGATACTAGAGGAATATTTTTGTCATAATATATCTGCATTTGATTCATTAAAGACGTCCAACCATTCTTCTGTTGCTAGATCACTTTTGAATGATTCAATATAATAATTATAGGGGTGTTTCTTGTGTGTACATGTTTGATTTAGCTGACTTTTTCATTGTCATTTCATGATTACATATTTACAGAATTGGCAAATGATGAGATCAATCGGAATATATTAATCCACTGGTAATGTTTTTATCGTAGATATTGGAAGAAAGAAATTATATAAGGGTTGAAGATTGACCATCAATTCTGGTAGGTTTATTTATATGTGGATAACAACTATCAGAATAAGTAATATGAAGAAGTGTCTATGAGATAACAGGTCAATATTTAAGTCACCCATTAAAGATAAACTTGAGTACTGGTAATGCGATTGCATTGTGAAAGAAAAGGTGTGGAATGGATCAGAAAAGTTGATCATATAGCATGTAAGTAATGGTGTGTAATGCAAGGTTCTAGAGTCATCAAAATCACCATAAATTTGGCAGAGTCTTGGTAAAGTAACAATCACACAGATAGATGTATATGG